GGGGGGGGGGGGGGAGGGGGAGGGGAGCAACAAAAACGACCCGGTAAAAGGGACTGGAACCCACAAAACACCCTGACTCCTTCTCTTCCGGCGTTCATTGCGGAATAAGACTGTACTTCTTGTATATTATTCTTGGTTCGCTGGGCTCTTCGAGTCAAAAACACGTCAGCTGTTCGAGCCTCGGAAACGTCACGATGGTCGCGGTGGGAAACACCTCGAATTTCTCCTCCCTGCCCTTCTTCCAGAATATACGAAAGATATCCAGACGACTATCAAGGAAGATATCCAGGTGCCAGGTGTCATATGAACTAACCACTGGAAAAGAAAGAAAAGGGAGAGCTTTGAAGTTTATCTCCGAAAAGAAAGGCGAGGACCAAAGTGTAAGTTTTCTGTGTTTTTTCTTGTGAATTAACTTCCCAGGAGGACTAGAACCAGCGGAGAGGCGTGCGTTTAGCTCTCTCTCTCTCTCTGTCTGTCTCTCTTTCATTCTCCGGCTGTCTCCTTAAGCTCACTGTTGTGGGTGTGGACTATTTAAGACCCCCCTCTCTCTACGTGCCTCGTCTCTTTTCAAGCCCACTACATATGGTGGGTGTCTAGGCGACACACAAGGCAGTACTGCTCTCGCCTGTTGCCTCCAACACGTCCCCGGTTAAAGCAGACCCCTCCCTGCCCGGGCGGTGCGCCAGCCTCAGCAGCGGCAGCGGCAGCGGCAACAAGCGCCTGACTCTGTTCCGAAGTCAAGAGGTGCTGCAACAGCCACCGGCACGCTACGCCGGCGTGGGTCCACTTGTTCACCAGCAAGGCCAGTCTCTTGCGACGACGCTCGCGTCGGCGCTGGAACAAAAAAGAGGCAAAACAAACGGCAGACGTGGGGGCCATGACGTCACGCAGCGCCTACTTCAACCAAGGACGTAGGTGCTCAATCCTTCTTTTGTTTGAATATGAACTGGCGTAATATTTTTGGAATTGTGTCCCCGAAGCCGATGCAACAACAGAGGTATCGCGGTGATTCAGCGCTCCCTACAAATGGGGAAAATAGAGGACTCCTCGGCAACAAGAATAAGTGGTAGGGAAAACCTTCACCCAGGATCTTCACACTTGAACGTTAGGCTTCAAGCGGTACTCTCACGCGGCATCACCCCCCCTCACCTGCTGCTCCTTTTCTTCTCCCCACCTTGCCTCAGCCTCAGCCTCATCCGCATCACCCGCGGCATTGTTAGCGTCTTCCATCTCGACGTCCTCTCCATCCTCTCTACCGGAAGCTCGTCTTCTCCTCCCCCGCTCCCTGCCCACACCCTGGCCCCCGCCGACAGTAACGCTCACGCTGAAGCTGCTCTTCCCCTTGCCGGGCGCCGACCGGTCGCTGCTTCCCCCTTCCGGCGGTGCCGCACCGCCATCGTGGTCGTCACCATCGCCCGCGGCCTTTGCCCCGGCTGCTGCTGCTGCTGCTGGCGGCGCCGCTGCCACTGTCGCTGGGACGGGTTGCTGCTGCTGCTGTTGCTGCTGTTGCTGCTGCTGCTGCTGCTGCTGCTGCTGCTGCTGCTGCTGCTGCTGTTGTTGTTGTCGCTGTGATTGTTGCTGTGGTTGCTGCTGCGGTTGCTGCTGCCCTCGCACCCCTCTCTGTACAGAGCCGTCGTCTTCACCGCCAACCTGCGCTTCTGCGGGTGCTGCCGCCCCCGTGGCTCTTGCCGCGGGCTCAGATCCATCCCCGCCGCCACCCCCACTCCCGCCCCCAACCGCGGGGACCCTGGCACCCCCCTCCCCTCGCGCTCGCTTGCGCCCACTACCCACGGACGGTGCCGTTGCCGTTGCTCTTCTCGTCGAAGCGGCCCCCCCTGACCCCGCAGTTCCCGCCTGCGTGGCCCCACTTCTTCTCGATGACGACGGCCCTCCTACCCCTCCTTGATCGCGACGACGTAGCGAGGGGACCAAGACCTCCCGGCCCTCGTTGAGCCAGCCGTGCACGCTCAGGATTACCCTCTCGCAGAGTACGGTCACCTTTCGTCTCACCTCCTGCGGAGACCCGGCCCCTCCTCCGTAGTGCGACGAGGGAGACGAGCGGCCGAAGGATGTCTGCTGCTGGTGTTGCTGCTGCTGCTGCCGAAGGGTTCTCTCCGTGGTGTAGTAGTGCATCACGTGCGCCAGAAGCTCTGTCACCTGTGTGTGTGTGCGCGCGCGTGCGTGTGTGAGTGTTGTATCGTTGTCAACTACTGCGCTACCCGAGCAGCTCACCAAGGACAACATCTCCGTCCCCGAGACCAACAATCGCTATTCCATTCCGCTTGGGCAGCGACAGGGTAGGAGATTGCAGACATGGCTCCAACCTCCGGATGGACGGCACTCTAAACGCAACATGTGCCAATATATGAACCCAGTTCGTCAACTTAAGGGGCGGACGACGCTAGCCGGGTGATCAACGGACACAAGACAAATTCCTGCGGGGGGCAAAAACTGAAACAAATTTCAAGCCCACGGGGTTCCCCGACGGGCAAGGCAGCTTTCTTTCGTGACAGAAACACCACCATCGACCGTACGAAAAAGGCTGACCGATCAAGCAAATGAAGGCAGCTGGAGCGTGAAGAGCAATTAAAAGAAAATATTGTTTAGGAGTGAAGCTCCTAACATGGACTGCGCCGACCGGGAAAACGTCAACAACAGCAACAACAACAACAACAACAACAACAACAACGTAAATAAGTTTCACCTGATCGAGACCCCCGCACTTGATGAACGTCTCCATGGCGTCGCCCTCCGGACCGGAGTCCCACCCGGACTGTGGCCGACGGACGCAAGCCTCGATCATCCACAAAGCGTACAACGGTAGGCGCGGGTTCGGCCCGTCTCCCACCTGGTCGAGTCGAAAAGAGTCAGACGCCACTGCACCATCAGTGACACAACCATAACGTTCACCATCATCATTGACAGAACAAAAACAAAAACAACAACGAACAGAGTCGCTACGGCAGCATCAAGGTGCGGGTGAGGCGGGGGCACGCAACAAGCTCACCTTGAGGTAGACCTCCTTGGCATGAGGCCCGAGAGTCCACGAGAGAGCGTGGCTGGAGTACCCCGCGCCGTACTTCCGTAGGCAGAGCGTGAAGATCGACATGAGCGTCGTCGCCATCTTGAAGGACGGGGCGTATCCCCTGAGTAAGAACCACTCCATGCTCCTGCATAAAAAAACAGAGTACATACCAAAGTACAACACAGGGTGAGAGCGAGTTTCGTTGAGTAGTGTACCGCCTCGGTATCAACCAAAACACGCGAACTCTGCCTACGGACGACTAGAGCGCATCGTTCGAGTTAACTATCCCTTAGTTTTAGAAGACTCGGGGTCTCTTCTGTTCGCTGGTCAGCAGGGTACCACGATCGATACAAACATAATAGCCACAAAGGGTAGGGCGGTTTGAGCGTATTCCGGTAAGTGGGACAAGGCGAGATAAACGAGAATATTGGTGCTGAATTTGACAAGTCAGGGGGGAGCCCTCGAACTGCAGGCTTCTAATGAAGGAACAAAGGTGAAGCTACTCGAACAAAAACAAGCAACAACGCCGACGACGACGCCGACGACGACGCCGACGACGACGACGACAACAACAGATCTTAGCTTACCAAATGAGGCTGCTGGCGGACTTGACGGCTTCCAGGAAGGAGGGGTACAGCAGACACCCCTTCAGCAGGAGGTCGTAGTACATGGACGAATAGGTCGCGTTGTACTCGATGCTGGCTTTCTTGTCGTGCCAGAGGACGAAGAACATCGTCAACCCTTGCACGATCGTCTCCTAACAACAAGCGCGTTGTTGTGGACGCAAACGGTGTTGCTGCTGCTACCAACGGTAACGCGTGTTTCGAGGAAAATTGTCCGTGTCGTCACCGCCAAGTACACACCGGAGGGTACGTAAGATAGCACACCCCCCTGGACCGATTTTCAAAGCTCGATTACTCCACGACCAAGAGGATGCCGAAGGGAAACGACACGTGCCCGGAAAGCTCTGGACGGGACGGTTCCAACTCCGCCTTTTGCGGCACCGTCACCGACTTCCCAGCCCAGCAATCAAGCTTTGAACATCGGTCCGTGGGAATGTGGTAACTTATGCAACCTGCGGCACTGCTGTCGCTGTGTCGAATGTCGTGTTCACGAAACGAGAAAAAAAATTGAGGGGCAATATCATACGCAAAATAGAGCGACGACATCAACACCAGCAACAAGAGCAGCAGCAACAGCGTCATCAGACAACCGACTAACGAAAAACAAAGACAAACAGCTGAACGACAGCAACAACAACGAAGACTTCTCCTCACGTCCTTCAAGCAGACGTACAGCTCCGGATGCCTCTCCATCGCATTGCATATGAACTCCAGCAAAACCCCCTTGGTGTGGTCGTTCTCTCGTCTCAGTCTGATACCGTGCCATCGCAGGCGTCGTTCGTGGCATAAGCAACGGCCACAGAAAGACGGAGAGCCAGAGAGAGAGGGGGGGGGGGGTACTCATAGTCGTGCATGCCGTAGTCGTTAAACCATTGACCTCGCATCCCTACAAAGCCGGGACGGAGCACGCCGGGGTCTCACCGGACCAGGCTCTCACATCACCAAGCGCGAAGCGCCTTGAGATATTCGACGAGTCGCATGAAGGGTGCGCCGCATCCTGCTAAGGGTATTCGGCATATTGTGCTTACTTCCTTGCGTACGGATGACAGCTGCGTATTGCTTAAATAATATTCTGGTGCTTTCACATCCAGAGACAGTCATAAGCACTGCTGTGTAACTGCCGCGAGGGTGCTTGACCATTTTAACACAACGTGGTGCGATCATCGCCTTCGCGCGGAGTGAGGCTTCTCCACCCCGCACAACATGATCCACTCGACCACCGTTATGGTCACCGCCAAAGCAGAACAGAGGAACAAAACAACAACGNGGGGACGAGAGGGGGCGGGGGGAGAAAGAGAGAGACAAGAAAGAGAGAGGGAAACTGACAGATGAACAGGAAACCTACGAGAAACGAACTCCAAACCAAACAAGAAGCACGGAAAAACAAAACGATGGCGATTGTGCGCTCTGCGGGGCATTTTTCACGCCAACGGAAGCAAAAAGAACAAAAGTAAAATTGGTCGCCTTGTAAGCACATGATATTTATTGTTATTGTTTAATGGCGACACGTCTGCCTGAAAGTCGCGCTCATTTGTTTTCGATACCATCATACGCTGCGACACATGCATACCCCGATCAACCGCGTCTGCCCGACCGCGTAGCAAACTCTTCCGAGGGATCGTTCACCCCCTCCCGCCGCCTGATTCTGAGGTCATGAGGTCTTGAGACTACGAACACCCAACCCCCCAACTCCCGATCGGTGGTTCCTCCCGCAACAGCGACAGCACATCCTCCCCACAAACAGCAGCGCTTTTTCCTCCTTGAGAAGATCTCCGACAACGATGCGGCCGCAACAACCCCCC